CTTAGGGTTAATTTTAGGGTTGGGGTTAAATGCAGTAATTAAAATGAATGTTTTTCTATTTAAAGTCCTAACAGGGATTGAAATAACTTGTGTCATGCGTGTGTGTGTGGTTGTTTCCACGGTAACGTGTGTGCTGGTGTAGATGTGGGTGCAGCAGACACACACTCTGAAAGTGTTTCTGACCTCCAGGTCTCTTTGACACAGAAAGGCATTGTGGGATTTATCAGACGACGCGCAGCTGTGTGTTTATATTTGCCTGGCAGCTTCAGAGTGCGTCTGTGTTTGTTGTGTACAGCTGGCAGAGAGCTGATAACGGGCCGAGCCGAGCCGAGCCGGGCCGGGCCGGGCCGGGCCTATTAGAAATATTAATACACCCTGAACCCCACAGAGACGGGGGGGGGGGTCTGGCTTTAAGCTCAGCTCACAGCAGCAGAACATTAGCAGGAACACAGCAGGCATTAGCTACACACACTGATCTAAGACCAGCTGCTGACAAACATCACAGGAACAGAACCAGAACCAGGACCAGGACCAGAACCAGAACCAGGACCAGAACCAGAACCAGGACCAGAACCAGGACCAGAACCAGGACCAGAACCAGGACCAGCCACATTAGCAGGAACACAGCAGGCATTAGCTACACACACTGATCTAAGACCAGCTGCTGACAAACATCACAGGAACAGAACCAGGACCAAGACCAAAACCAGGACCAGGACCAGAACCGGGACCAGAACCAGAACCAGAACCAGGCCAGAACACAGGCAGTAATAGTGGGCCGGTTCTTGCAGCAGAACCGGTCCAGAACATCTGGCACACCTGTGGGAGTGAGGGGCCAAAGCCGGGTCCAGAAGTTTGGGGCCAAAGTTCATCAGGTTCCTCACGTCTCCAGCCTGGTACCACCACGGTCACCTGGACCCGCTGCCTGGCATGGTTCTGATCCTGCAGGGAACTCGAGGCAGAGTCAGGAGGAGCAGGAATCTGGTCCAGTTCCTGGAAGAAGCGGTTCTGATGTCAGAGATTCTGCTGCAGAGTCGCTGTTCAGGGAAACTTGCATTTAACGTCCTGCTCCTCGCATCAGCTGGGAGGGAGGAGGAGGAGGAGGAGGAGGAGGAGGAGGAGGAAGGCCCGTGTCTGTAATTAGTCACACGGTTCAGAAGCAGGAAGGAGGGAAGCTGCTTCCTCCATAACTCAGCGTAAACAGGACAGTAACCGCCTCCTCCCTGTGTGTCCTCGCTCAGCCTGTCTCTCACGTGATTGGCTCTGTGATTTAGGACCGCTGCATTCTCATTCGTCAGCGGGTTAACCTCTGCGAGCGGGTGACAAACGGCGTGCACAGCCAGGCTCATTGTGAGCCGCCGCTGTCCGTCCATAACTCAGCCCAGAAGTGCGGCAGGTCAATAGGAGATAAGACAAAGGCTGCAGGTCTAAACAACGGCGAGCTGCTGCAGCCGAGCATCACAGAGGCTGTTCGATACCTCATTACCGTGACAACCAGCCAGCAGAGCTCCCTGAAACCCGCAGAGCCTGCAGAGACTCCTTTCTTTCCGGCATCTTCACGCCCTCCGTCTGTCGGTCCGTCCCCCTAAAGCCCAGAAACCTCCTTACCTCCAACATTCATGCAAACAAGAACCCGTCTCATCAAGAACCCAACAGAGTTTCTGAAATAAAAACTGCGAGTGTCCCACATGAGGACAGACAAACGTCCCTTCAGTCCACCGCTGAGACACTGAAGACCACGGAGGATCTCAAGGTGAAACCAAACCTTCAACTTATGAACCTGAAGCAGGAATCTCAGGAGGAGCCAATGGAGAACAACCAGGATCCATCAGAGTCCTGCACAGGCCTTTCCAGGCCTTTCCAGGCCTTTCCAGGTCCTTCCAGGCCTTTCCAGGTCCTTCCAGGTCTTTCCAGGTCCTTCCAGGCTGTAACCAGACAGGTCGGTGCTGCTAATGATTTTCAACATGCTCTCATCTCCTGCTGTTGAAGCAGCGCGGCGGTAATGATGGTTGAACCAGGAAGGACCGAGATCAGAGACCATCAGAACCTACCTGCAGGGATCCATGAGCTGCTGGGCCGGT